TTTTTTTTTTTTTTCTTCCCTGTGATTGTCAGTGTTGGAGGAAGATAATCTTAATTTTTGCCGACTTTCCAGCTTGGTTTTCCTGACAGTGCAGGAGAGTAAAGGAAAATTGTCTGACATCTGTGTTGGGAAATTGTTTCCCAGGGAGATGGAAGCTGCTTGACTGACTCACACCTCAGTTCCTCCAGTTCAGGGGTGGAACATTTAGCAGCTGTAAATGCATCATGCTTTGAAAGAAAACAACCCTGACAGTTGTTTTGGGGTTCACTTTGTCCTACTTGCCCCACAGACATAAGGATGAGGGCTTGAAGTATTTAGTGATATGCATTTTTCATGAGCTTTGCTTACATTATCTTCTCCTGTGGCTGTTGGGTCAGTCAAGCCTTTATAAAATTCCCAAACCACCCGTTATTCCAAATCTGATATCAGTTGTTGGTTATCCCAAGTGATTGTTGCTGGTTATCCCAGCCACTGTTGCTGTTGATTATTTTGGAACTGCTTTTGCAGGGCTTTTTGTTTTGTTGTTTTCACCTGTTTAAATCCCAGCAGTTGTTCAGAGAGTAGTGAGAAATGCCCCACAGCTGAGCTAAAACCATATCTTTAACCATATCTTTTCTTAGCTGTCCTCAGACCCCTCTGAGATCTGACCTTGCCCCTCTGGGGTCTGAGCACAGACATGTGAAAGGAAAGTGAAATTCTGGGATAACGAGTTCTGGGAACACCTTGCATGAGCTTGGTGTGGAAAATAGCAGCTTGCCTGGAGGAAACATGACTCACCCTCACTGGTGTTTGGGAAAGCAGGGGGATGTCTGGGTTTCTGTTCAATTTAAGCTTGTTATGATCTCGCTTGCTTTGCCTCCTCCCCAAGCACCGCACGCAAAGCAGGATCCCCTGGCCCTTGGGGTGAATACACTGCACTGTGCATCCTGATGGATGCCGTTCCTTGTGACTTACATGCACAGAGAGCAGCTGGGATGAGTCAGATCTCTGTGGCTGAGGCTGCCACAGCTCCTGTATTCTTGAATTAAATGTGTTTGAACAGAGCAGGGCTGATATGTAACCATTCATTGCAGCAGCAGTGAGATCTGTGGCAACTTTAAAGAGGAACTCATTCCCTGGAGACATTGATCCCTTCAGAGAGAGTTTCCAATCATGTGGTGATGTCCAAGTCAGGACAGGAGGCTGAGGACAGAAAGGATTGCTGGCAATGCCAGTCAGGGAATCCTAAACAGGGAGGGAGCTCTGGCATCACAAGGAGCTCTGACAAGCCAGGAAACAGGGATAACCCAGTGCTAAGGAAAAGAGAGTCACAATTTATTATTTCTGTGTGCATTCTTGGCTGAACGTGATTGATTTGATTGTTGGGGTTGCTACCTCCTGCCCAGCAGAACAAAATCTGTTTTACTTTCCTGATAGGGCCAGAGAGCCCAGGATGGCTCAGACATGGTCAGTGTAGTTTGAGTGCCTTGCATAGAGCAGAGCTGGGGGTGTGAGCTTGCCTTAAACCAAACCAAAGACCCCAAATTCATGAATTACTCTCATCTGCGTACCTCCAGATAAGAAGCCTGGATCCCTGCAGGCTTCCATGGCTCTCCTTTGCAGAACTATCCCCACCAGAAGTTGAACAAGCTTATCAATAGGCAGGATTAGTTCCCCACAGTGCCAACTCCTCTTCACCTGAGGGGCTGCAGAGATGGCAGCTGGCTCTACATCCACATTGCAGAAGGAAATGCTCTTCCCAACAGCAGATCTGGTTTCTCAGGGATGTGGAGGGTGAGAGGAGTTGGTTTTTAGCTGCTGTGGTGCATGCCCTGGCTCAGATCAGGGTCATGTCCAGCCCTGAGTGTGTGCTCCAGCTTGGCACAGCAGCTCAGGGGTCGGCCTGGCTCAGTAGGACAGATATTTAAACACATAATCTTACCCAAAACTGTCCCTTGTGCCACACAGACTTGTGCAGACATAAAGGCATCCTGCCACACCCTGCTGTCAGACAGCAGCCTTTAGTTCTCAGCCTCTTTCACCCAGCTAAGACTTCTATAAAATTTTGCCCTGTGAGACAAAAATGAAGTAAGCATTGAAGAGACCAAGCCTTCCTTGCAGCAGAGGGAATTGGTCTCTTTGGTGCTGAAGTGTCTCCTGAAAATAGAATGAGAGGCTTGCAATCCTGACAAGAGCAGTGGTGAGATAGATTGCCAAAATCTGGGCTAAATGCTGATGAGCTCTTTCTTATGCTTGGGGGAAGAGATGTGGTAGAACTGTGAATTGAGCCCTTATCACCCAGGACAATGTAGAGAACACGCTTCTCACTTGGCCTAGGGAAATTAAGATATAGGGCTTCCTTGAAATTCTGAAATGTTACTCTTTTGAATAATCACCAAGATTCTGCATATAAAAATTCCCATAAGCATTTTTGTACATTCACATTTAATGCATTGGCTATTTTCAGGTGTTTTGCAGAAAATCCTTGCCTTAGCTCATCTTTGGTGAAGGAGAGCAAGGAATCTCCATAACTTTCTCATCTTATGTACTTTCCTTTCTCTTGCTGCCCTTTTAAACACAAAGACCCTTGTCTATGCTGTGATGGAGTCTGTTCAGCAGATCTGGCACTGAGCTTGGGAATTCCATGTGCTCCAGCTGTCCTTGTTCACGCTCTGATCAGGGCTGGTTGCTGCTGATGGCTGGAAAACCAAATCCACGCGTTCCCTCCAAAAGATGCAATGGAGTGGCTTTACAAGGAAAACACACCCAAGGAGTGCTGCAGGTGTGTTTGCTTTGAGCCTGATGGCCATCTCATTAAAACCATCAAAAAGACTCCCCCTGACTTCAGGAGGGAGATAATCTCCTCCTCTGGAGTCATCTGTTGAGTTACACAAAGGAAACAAGGCCAGGCTTTATAATGAAGTTGTTTAACTTATTCCAGGGTTAATAGCTGATGGTTTAGTCCTTGCAGAGCTCCAGAGGCTGAAGGGTTGCTCATGACAAGTGTTGAACCAGCCCTGAGTGGTGCTCTGCCAGCATCCCTGACCATGCTGCTGATGGGCACGGCATGCTTATCCATCAGCCTTTTATGGGCTGCCTATAAATGCCACATCACTGTGAACTTCAGCTGGGAAAACAAGCAACTGCTGTGCCAAAGAGCCGAGCAAAGCCTTTGGAAACTCACTTAAATGATTTTTGGCATTTGCAGAACGCTCGGTTGGCGGATTGAACGTTGTGAAATGTATTTCTGGGAGAATATGAGAGGCTCTTCTGCCACAGGGCTTCCTAATGTGCAGAACGAAGCTCCCTGAGCTGCCCTCCCGCGCTCCGGATCGCAAATCGCTGCTGCCCTCCCGCGGCCCCGGCTCCGCGTGTCCCGCAGCATCCCTGAACCGGCTCTCAGCATCCCCGAGTGTCTCGCAGCATCCCTGTACACCCCAGAGCATCCCTGCACGTCCCGCAGCATCCCCACGTGGTCCTCAGCATCTCAACATCCCGCACGTCCCGAAGCATCCCTGCACATCCCGCAGCATCCCCGCACGGCTCTCAGTACCCCGCACATCCCGCAGCATCCTTGCACCGCCTGCAGCATCCCCATGTGTGACCATGTTCACAGGGGTCCGAGGATGAGGGAAGAGACGAGGATCTGACTCCATGTTTCAGAAGGCTTGATTTATTATTTTATGATATATATTATATTAAAACTATACAAAAAAGATAGAAGAAAGGATTTCATCAGAAGGGTAGCAAAGAATAGAAAAAGAAGGAATGATAACAAAGGCTTGTGTCTCAGACAGAGTCCGAGCCAGCTGGACAGTGATTCGCCATTAATTAGAAACAGCACTATGAGACCAATCACAGATGCACCTGTTGCATTCCACAGCAGCAGATAACCATTGTTTACATTTTGTTCCTGAGGCCTTTCAGCTTCTCAGGAGAAAAAAAATCCTAAGGAAAGGATTTTTCATAAAAGATGTCTGTGACACCCGTGTGTCCTGCAGCATCCCCACACAGCCCTCAGCATCCCCAAATGGCCCTCAGCATTAATGATTGTTGTTTTAATTATTGTTTTTCTTTTCCTCTGAGGCTTCTCAGGAGAAAAATCCTGGCAAAGGGATTTTTCAGAAAATATCATGGCGACACTGCTGTGTTGTTCTACTCAACATTAGTACATTGTCTGTGTTCTTACCCTCCTTGGACTGACCTGCAGCCACTTTTCCAGCTGATAAGTGAATTTAGGGGGCAATGCTGCTTTTATAAACAAGCTGTGATGCCCATGGTGAGTATCTTTCAGATCTAGCCTGAGTAATTGAATGGGTGCAGGTCTAATCAAGTTGTCCTGCTCTGGGCTGGAGGTGGCTGCCTGCAGCAGGGTGATGGATGTGGCTCAGTTGTGCAAGCTGTGCTCCTGAAGTGCTGAGCTAATGAAAAGGCAGTGGCAGTGATGGACTGAGTTAGAGGCAGATGGGAGTTTGGATCTGCTCCTGCCAGTGCTCTCCTGTTATCTGCAGTGAATCATGCACAGCTGTGGCTGCTGGGAGATGAGCTCTGGGATCTGAGCTAAAAAAAGGAGCAATGAGAAGTTCTCAGCTCCTGCTCTTCAGCCAGGAGAAAATTATTTTATATGGTGAGTGAGATGTGCTGCCTTGTGCTAAGTTACTCAGAGGAGGGAACAGAATATAACTCTTGCTTCTCTTTAATGACTCCTTGCAGGGAGCCAGAGCCTGTCAGCCTGAGAACAGGAGCTCTAAACACTCCTTCAGTCTTCCAAATCACAGAAATATAAGTCTCTTAGAGATGCCTCAGTAGGTGGTTTAACTACAGCCTTTAATCCTCCTGTGCCTCAGCTCCCTCTTTTTTGAGATACAGATACACTTGGCTGTATAAATATCTCAGGGATTGTGATATTTTCTGCTGTCTTGTTACTGTGGTGGCAAAATACAGAGGCAGGGCATCACTCTTTATTGTTAAATTTCCAGAGCTGATGTTTTAAATGAGTGTATGTTTTGGAAAGAGAGTGAGGGAGGGCTGGAGACAGAGGGGACTTGCTCAGCATGGGCAGGGAATGGGCAGAAACGCTGCTCCCAAATCTTCCCCTCTGGTCATGGGGCTGTGCTGGTGGATTTTGAGGGGAAAACCTCAAATGTGGGACTTCCAGGCAGTATCTGCTGCAGCAGCACTGAGCTTGGAAAGTCTGGAGCTGAGGAATAGAGGTATCAGAAATCTTGTCAAAACCCACCATGAATCTGGTCAAACAACCTTCATAAAATAATAAATGCACCTTGACATTTCTGAGCATGAGGGATGACAGGAGATCACAGAATTTTGGGGTCCTGCAGCAACGCTCTTACAGGCCAGCAGTATTTTGGAGGTTTTGTGCTCTACCTGTAAAAGTTACATGTATGTGATTAATCCACTTAACTTGTGGGTACAAAATGCTTGACTTAAGGAGAGAAAGGGCTTAACACCTCAAATGGAATTCCTGGCAAGCCTAGGCATGAGATTTTCCTTTCAGAGATTAGATTGCTTGGTAGAAATGGAAATCAGAAGATCAGGGCATGGTTAAAGAAGGAAATAAGGAAGGGATGGTGTAACTTCACATTTTTCTATGGGCTACTTCACGCTTTCCTATGGGAAGATAAAAATGAATTTTGGTGGAAGGCACTTATTGTAGTGATGGGAAAGAACTGTGCCTTGAAAAGTTTCCATCCCTCATGATATGAGAGGGATGGAAATGGAGGATAAGTAGAAATAAGAGGCTCTGAGACCAGGAGAGTATATTTATGAAGTGTAGCCAAGTGAGGAATAATACAACAATGAGAAAGAAAAGAGGTTCAGCATTCATTCATACAACAGCTCCTTCTTACTTTTTTTTTAACATCTTCCTGGCATAACATTGAAGAATCACAAAATAAAATAGAATCACAAAATAAAATTACCACTTCATACTATGTTTCAGCTTCTATCTGGGACAACACTTGTTCTGCTTGTGATACAGAAGTCTCCAAAATCTGCTGTCATTTAATCCCTGTGTTGGTAACAGCATCTCTGCAGGTGACCAGAGGGGAGTTTGAGCAGCTTTTGGCAGCTCCACAGCCCAGGCTGAGCCTCTCCCTTCAGCAGAGCTGCATCAGGGGTGCTGCACCAGGATTTGGAGCTGTGCTCGCAGCACAGGACATGCTGCTCGCTTTCATCCCTGGAGAATTTCCCCCAGCGCTGCCTTTGGCCTGCTCTGCACCCCCAGCCCTGTCTGCCCTGATGGAGGAGGAAGATGAGGGGTTCTCCTGTCCTGCTGCCGGCCTGGGGGCTGGGATGAAGCTCTCGTTGCGCTGCATCCCGCGGACATGGCTTGTGCGGCAGGCTCGGCAGAGGGAGCCCCGCGTCCAGTCCTGGAGCTGGGGAGGGCGCAGAGCCGGCTCCGCTCGCAGAGGAAGGTCGCCCTCCTCTTCCTCCCTCCCCGGGGAGCCTGAGCGTGCCGCCGGAGCGGGAGTGCCCGGCAGGGTCACACAGATCCCTGTGCCAGCGCTTTGTGCTGGTTTTTGGTGCACTCAGTGAGTCACCGTAAACCAGCTTGGGATGCACCAAAAACTTTGGGATGCTGTGCTCTCAAACTCAGCTCTCCCACCACATCCCCGGGGCAGCCCCATTCTGCTGGAAAAGTGATGGAGGAGGAGGAGAACTCTACAGAGAGCCTGAGATCAGGAGGTCTAAACACTCCAGTCTTCCAAATCACAGAAATAAAGTCTCTCAGAGATGCCTCAGTACATGGTTTAACTACAGCCTTTAATCCTCCTGTGCCTCAGCTCCCTTTTTTTTGAGCCACAGATCCGCTTTGCAGCCATGCTGGCTGTATAAATATCTCTGCATTATCCAAATTTGTTTGCTACTCAGTTGTGACGGTGTTCACAGGGGTTGGAGGATGAGGGAAGAGACGAGGATCTGACTCCATGTTTCAGAAGGCTTGATTTATTATCATATATTTTACATTAAAACAGTACTAAAAGAATAGAAGAAAGGATTTCATCAGAAGGCTAGCTAAGAATAGAACAGCAGAGAATGATAACAAAAATTTGTGGCTCAGCTCTCTATCTGAGCCAGCTGGACTGTGATTGGCCATTAATTAGAAACAACCACATGAGACCAATCACAGATCCACCTGTTGCATTCCACAGCAGCAGATAATCTTTGGTTACATTTTGTTCCTGAGGCATCTTGTCTTCTCAGGAGGAAAAATCCTAAAGAAAGGATTTTCCATAAAAGATGTCTGCAACACTCAGTGGAGTTCTGTCACTCTGAAACTGCCCAAACATCCTGCTGCCTGGCACTGCCACTGCCACCAAAGAGCTGGCAGAGTGTGTGCAGCTTGGGGAGGGAGGTGTTTCTCTTGTGTGGCAGCTCCTGTACAGCCCCCCTGTGTTAAATATTAACCTATTACTGCTGATCTTCCAGGCCATTTTACTCCATCCCCAATTCTCTTGACACACAATAAGAATATTTTGAGTGTAATTTGAATTTTCTATGCCTGGCTGCTTCACTGTTAATTTTTTAATTGAAAAATCAGGGTTTCAGCTAAATAAATATTTTAAAGAAAATATAAAAGATTTTTGGTCAAAACCTAATCCATTTTAACTTTCATCTGCAAGGCTTTCATATTTGTGACAGTTGTGTGAAAGCCTTTACTTCTCATGTTAATAGATTTTTTTCCCCCAACAACAATTAGGACTTTATCTTGGAAACTTCCTGTTTTCCAAAGAGTTTTCTGTTTGAGCAGCCCGTGTGCCCAGCCCTGGTTCAACAAAAGCTGTTCATGCTCCAGGCCAAGAGGCAGAGGAGAGGATGGGCAGCACTGGTGATTTTGGGGCTGTGCATTGCTCAGGACAGCAATAGTTAAGAGAAGCTGACTCTAAAAGAAAACAAAGAACCAACCTCAGTGATGTATGTAATGCACATTTCTTGCTTCTTTATCCCAGAACTTCAGGGTCTGAGACATTCTCAGGTGGGTGTGTTTGTTTGTTTGCACATCTGTGGCTTAGCTGAGTGAAGGAGTTGCCGTCACTGGCAGGCAGGAGGTGAAGCCCAAAGCATCAGACATGGTGTTCCTGTCACTCATTTTTGTTTTCCTCACTTCTTGCCTCTCTTTTCCCTTTGCAGTGAAGGGGGAGCCTGTCCTTTATGGTGTCCCAAACTGAGTTTTGACACGGTCAGCCTGCAAATTGAGCTAAAACTGGTTTGCCTGTTCCAATAGGTAAGACTGAAGAAAACAAGCCCTGCAAGAAAATGCGTTGGCCTGCCTATGATTTTAAACACAATTTGGCTTGTAATTTGATTCCCTTTGAAACAGGCCAGCTGGTAAAAGTCCAGCTCCAACAGGCGCTGGAGAGGAATCTCAACAAGTGAACATGCTTTTAACACACCCTGCTCCATCATTCATGAGGACCTGTTGCAGAACAAGCCATTGTGCTCTCCAGAAGTGCTGGCTGGAGCACACCAGCCACTTCCCAGTCTCCACCACCACCCTCTGCTCTGAAACAGAGAAACAAACCTGAGGAGCAGCTTGTGAGCCTCTGTCTCATGTACAGCTGTGACCTGACTGAACAGGACAATTCAGTCCTGTTAAAAAACCTTAAATAGCAGCATCTATGGTGCTGTGATGGATAAATCTCCTTGCAGAGGGTTCACCCTTGATCAGAGCAGGTCAGCCATGACCATCATGGAAAATTGCTGTCCTGGGAGGACAGTGAGGACTCCAAAATGCTGGTGGGAGAAAAGAGGGACCTTGAATCCCCTGGCCCCTATGGATTAATACAAATTGGTTTTCCCTGCAAGTACACTGGGTCACCTCAGGGGACCACAACAGCTCTCTGAAGTTGAACTGGCTGAGCCCAGGGGCTAAAATCCTCCTGGGCTGGCAGGCAGCTCATCCCTCAGGGAGTAACAGCTTCATGTCATTCCCTCCTGGGTATGGAGAGCTAGCATGGGTTTCTCTCATAGGACAGGGTGGGAGCACTGATGTGGGCTGTATGGGAAGCAGAAAGAATACAGAGGGACTGCTTGGATAAACAGGAGGGAAAAGCCTTTTTCCAGTGCCCTGCAGGTGCTGTGCTCCCTTGGCAGAGGCAGGACATCTCTGCCAGCTCTTCACCATCTGCTCCTCTGCTCCTCCACCAACCCAGCCAACATGCAGTGCAAGGATGTCTTTGGATTTCACCCATGCCAAAAAACCACTCCAAAACCCAAATCAAAGTTCTGTAGGGCTGATTTGCCCCCTTGACTGGACCCCCATGCCCTCCACATCCCCTGCCCAGCTGGGCAGACCCCCATGCCCTGTTGGCAGGCCCCACAGCTGTTTGCTTTGGGGTGAAGAGCACAGCACTGCTGGAAACCCCCAAGGGGAAGGAGACCAAACCAATCTCTGGGTCATAGAAAATGGGAAGATGTGACCAACAATTCCAGGAGAAGACAGGAACATTTCAAAGTGAACAGCAGTGCACAGCACCAGCCCAAATGACTTTCTTTAGCCTGGTGGCTGCGTTGAGTCATTTATCATATTCTGAGCAACCAGCCACGCTTCAGCAGCAATTACTGCTCTGTGACAGCTTCCAAACAATGCTCCCTGCAAGCTGTGCTTGCTGTCAGAACCTAAGAAAACAGAGGGTGAAAAATCCCAAACGTAACCAAACCAAAACACTGCTTTGCAGAGAGTTTGTGCTTTTCTTTTAAGCTCAACAGGTGTTCCTGGTCACCCTGCAAAACCACAGGGGAAATATCTGCATGCCACTGAAATGAAGCAACTCGAAGCTGAACTCTGTGAAGATAATCCCATCTTTTGCTTTTGTTTGGTAGAAATGAATGGAGAAAAAAAAAGCAAAAAAAAAAAAAGCTTCAACTCTGGTTTTTCATAATGATAGAGTGAGGGCTTTCACCACCATCCCAGTTTTGGACTGCATCTGATACAGGCTCATGGAGACAGGGGGCTGTTATTAGAGCTGGGTGAATAATCTACAGCAAGGGACTGAATGGAAGTGTTTGGCCTTTTATCTGTTTGTAAACTATCTGTGAGCATGCCTGGATGTTCTTGAATGTGTTTGTTGTTTGAGATAATGCTGCCCGTGATTTCTGCGAATAATCATTTATTTGTGGCTTGCCCACGAGCATTTAGATAGTCAAAATGTCATTTTTGTTCCGTGATTACATGAGTGCAACCCTGAGGCTTCCACCAGTCAGGAGTGGTAAATTCACTTTCTGTAAAACCCTATTGAGATCTTCCTGGGAAATGTGATTTCATCTGCAATATTTGTGGGGGGAAAAAAGGAAGAAAAAAGCAGTTAAGTAATGGAGGGGAGGAGGGGATTGGGGGTAGTGTTAAAAAAATTGTTGACCGGCTCTTGTGTTTGTCTTGATCCACAGTTCCTTGGTTATCCTGAGTGGTTGGATGGTTTTGTGGTAAGGACACCTTGGGGGGTAAATTGCAAAGGGGTATTAAGGAAAAAATAGTCAGTGCTATAGACAGGTTAAGTACCTGCATCACAAATGGGGGCAAATTAATTAATAAATAAATTAATTAAAAAAATAATAAATTAAGTTTTGGGGCAAAACCAGTATCTTGCAAAAAAAGCAGGGCTTGAATTCATTTTGGGTGCCTGTGAAACTTTCTTCTGCAACTCCTTCAACAGAGGCTTGTTGTTTATCCATTGCTTTCTGAAAGTAATGCACTGCAGAAAATTATTTCCTCTGCAAGTATTTCCTGACTTGTGAACCCTCTGCTTCCAAAACAGCTTCTCATTGAACTATTGTATGTGGGTAAGCATTTCCAAAACATGAGATGTCTTTTGGCTGCCCAAAGAGCAGTGTGGGCTCCACTTTACCTGGTTACAGGCTGCTTAGAAAGCTGATGGACAGCACATCAGAGATGGTAAAATCTAAAGTAGTGTGGGCAAAGGTGTGAGCAAAGGTGTGAGCTTGGTTTTGGGAGATGAAATAGGCTGTGACCTCATGCAACTCTGCTCTGTTTCCTTTCCCAGGCTTTGTCTTTACCACTTAAAACTGAGAACACGTGGGGTTTTCTACAACAGATGAAGAAAAGAAAATTAAACTTTCTGTAATGGAAGGGGGAGAAAAAAAATAACACTGTTCTTTCTTGCACCCTTCCTGCTCTCTCTCTCTCTCTGTCATTTTACTAGGTATTTACATCCCCTCATTGTGACTCATTTATTGTTCCTCTACCTTGTCTTATTCCTTTTTCCCCAGGCAGATTTTAGTGGAGGGGAGTCATTTGAGGGAGTAAATATCTGCAAGTCCAGCTTGGGACCAGTACAGACTGAAATAAGAATTGCACTGAAGATGAGGCATTTTTGTGGAAAATGAAAACAACAATAACTTTTTCTCATATTATTGACATTTTTCAGAGGGCGTCGTCTTTGGTAGAGCGAACTAAAGCCAGAATTTAGGCTTTGGCTATTGAAATGTTTAGATGAAAATTCGCCAAACTCCTAATTTATTTTTCCAATTCTCCAATTAAAGAAACCCCCTCCAATGATTATTTAAAGTATCTTGCCCACACAGCTCCCTCCTTCCCCTGCTTGCTTTTTTTTTTTCCATTTTAGTCAAATAACCAATTTTCCACTTGCACTAATTCAATACACTCGTCTTGTTTCAGAAGCCACATTGCAGTGATGCTGAGAAAGGAGTCCAGAACCAGCTGATTTAATGCTTTGCTCATGGTGGTTTGTATTAAATCCTTTTTTATTTTGCTTTCCCTGTTTTTAAGCTGCATTTGCTGGGGAGTGTTTTATACGCCCAAGTACAGAGAGCACTCTACAATCCTGCTTTAATGCTGAGCTGTATTTAAACCTGAGCTGTGGCTGCAGGGGGGCATTGTGAGGTCACCCCATCACCTGATAGCTGATGCTGGAGGTTCATGCATGCATGATCTGTAGCTTTTTCCTCCTGTGGAAGAGAAAAAAGATATTTTAAAATTATTCTCAAAGAGTTAGGCTGTCATTTTGGGTTCTACATGGTGTGTGTGTGTGTGGAGGGTAAAGGAGGGTTGAGATTGATTTGGGCCTGACAAAAAATATTATGAAAGATTGGTAGTGAAGTCGTGGAGCTTGAGACCAATAATTAAGCTGTGAAGGCTCCATCCTTTCCTCTCCTGCAGAGGAAATTAATTAATGTAATTTACTTTGAAAGTCTCAGGTTCTGTTTTTTAAGTAAGGCCTTGGGGTCATGCTTAAAACTGAGTGCTGTGAAAGGATGTGGTGATGGGATCCAAAGCTGTTGTAAAGGACATGCAAAGACAGAAATCAGTGGCTAAAATGCTCCTCCTGAAGCCCCTACAGATCTTGTGTGCTGGCACTTCATGACCCTAGAAATGCTGTTGAGCTTGGCAGGACTGGCCCAAAACCAGCAGTGCCTCAGACCAGGATGGAAGTTTGCTGACCAAACCATGAGGAAGAACCCTTGACTGTGCTGTAATTTACTGTTTTTCACTGCTAGCAAAGCTGAGGTGCATAAATCATAGTGATTAATAAAGGTGCATAAATCATAGTGATAAATAAATCTGTTATGTCCTCCTTTATTTCCTATTTGCAAACTGCCCGAGCGATTTTCTCAACCGCATTTGTTATTCAGAATTTTTCCCTCAGTAATTTCTGGAGATAATTCTTGTGTTTTTATCTTGTCTGGGAAGTTGTGCTGAGTCTGACATTGGAGCTGTTTTTATTAGAGACATAAATCTTTCTTCTGTTGTTTCAAAATCACATTTCCCATGCTACCATTTGCAATTACAGATATGAAACTTGCTTTCTTTGACTGCTCTTCAACATCCATTTATCACTGGCTGCTTCAGCTGCTGCTGAAATGCTGGTAAACTGTATCACCCTCACATTTGGGATCAAACACCATAAACAGAAGCATGAATTTTCTTGCACAGAGGTTAAAAAGAGTGAACGAGCATCTGTGAAATTTTGGGATGGGGTGGTGGGTAAAGAAAAAAGAAAGTGAACGTGGACTTCTGTTTGGATTCACTACTATTTCACTGCTGTTTCATTCTGTGCTTTAAAAGAAAGTGTTGGCTGCCATGGCTTTTTGGAGGGGAAAGAATCCTGAAAATACACCCTGAGAATGGCAGCTAGGTCAGGAGACTCGGGGAAAGCAGAGGAGAAATGTTTTGTTCCTTGCTCATAACTCATCTTAGGCACTAACCTGCTCAGAGAGCTTTGGGAAGGCAGAAATGGAGGTTACTTGTTTCTGGAGTCAGGATTCAGTTAAGAAAAGGGTTCTCCAAGACAATTTTCGTGGCAGTTGGTGGAATAAGAGCCTCTGAACCCAAAAGCAAGCCAATGCATGCATGCAGAAACATTTGCAATTGTTTAGTGGAACAACGACAGCCTTAATAGTACAGCATTAGGCAGAGGGCCAAGAGGCAAAAAAATATTTGTAAATAGGGTTTGCTAATTTTTTCCACTGGCAAACATAGCAAAAGAAGGAGGGAGGAGTTAGTCCTCTGAAGAGACAGGCTGGAAGCACAGGTCCCTCTAGGTTTTTGAACAGAATCCCTCTGCAATCCACATCCCAAATGAAAATAAGGAGTTTGTCTCTGGGTGTTTGTGTTTTTGTGTAAGAAGGGGTAAGGAGACATTGCTCCAGCTTAGAAACAGGAGCTGTGGGGTGGCAATAAATAGAGAAGGAACTTTCCCTGAAAGGATGTCAGGGACTGACTGAGAAGCAGTCAGTGCTGGATATTTCCTCCTGGAGACCTTTGGAAGGCTCTCCCACGTGTTGGTGGTGAGGAGCTGATGGGGTGGCTGTGTCCCTACCCGAGCTCTCCTTCTTCCCTCCATGGCTTCCTCCTGGCTGTGGAGGGAATTCCCATCCTGGAGTGACTGAGATAAAGGGATTTGGGAGGTTGGCAGCAGAGCCAACCCCTCAGCAACTGGGCCTGGGGAGGGTTGACTGTCTCCCTCTGACAGGTGGCTCAGAGGTGTCCCTTCCACCACCCCTTTTCATTTAGAGAGAAAATCCTCTGTGCAGGTTCTGGCTGTTCTGTGCCTGTTGGTGCTGCTATTCCCACCTGCGTGGTGAACCTGAGATGTGTGCTGTGGGCAGAGAAACACAAGGAGGCCATCAGGGGTGTCACTTCTATAGAAACCCAGAGACTGAGCACAAGCTAACAGAGCTCTTCCAGTTGGTTTTTGGTTGCAAAGAGAAAAAATTTTCACAGGAGTATCAAAGGATGGGCTGAAATTTTGTAATTTGTCTCCATTGTGACACTTGCTCATCACATCTACTTTTGCACCCACCTGTGCTGCTCCTTGCCACAGCAAGAACAGGCTTGACTGAGACCCAACTTTACTGCAGAAAAGAACAGGGTATAAAGATTTCTTTCCTAAATTGAATGATCTCCTCAATTTCAACATCCTGCTGTTAATGTTCCTCCTTGACCTTGAAGCACAATAATTTGTCTCTTTGACGTGCACACATTTCACTATCCAAACAGGTGATGCTTGTATCTTAACTGGACAAACTGAAACCTTTTGAGGTTTCCTTTTGAGGT